AAAAAACCCCCCAGAACCCGGCGCAGCTAGCCGGCACCCTACAACACACGTAGAACGAAGAAAATACGGTCTACATACAAGACCATACTCTCTGCATTACGAGATACATAACGAAAATCCAAAACTTGATTGAGCTATTGTGCACCATTTGGTTGCTCCGCAAACACAAAAAAGAATTTACAACGATGTCCTGCCTAGGTTGTCTTTATCGAGCTCGAACCGAAGCTTCCGGGACATTATCTGATGAAACAACAATGTACATTTGTTAGCTACTTCGTTAGAGGTATATATATACAATTTACGAACTTCCAACTAAAACGACAAATGTAATGTAGCCTTCTTCAATCGGATAGCAATTCAACAATCGATGAAACCAAATAGTTTACAACTTTATTAAATTATGCAAGAAGACAGTTTATGGTAAGATATACATACATATATATATAGATATACCTAATTTTGTTAGATTGCCCATAAATGGAGTAAATCACTTTCCTTAGTTGCAGGGGATGATTACAGTTTAGGGCAAATAGATCAAATATTTTGTCACATTATGCCAAAATTAGGGCATCAAACCCCATAATTGGATCCTACATTTGTTGCTCAAAATAATAAAAAAAAATCTCCCAAAATCAGATGAACAAATAATTTCAGAAGAAATCAATCAAAAAATGAAATCATCAAATTCAAATCAGTATAAAAATGAAAATCAAAAGAGGAATTGAATTGAATTGAAATTACAGGAAGGAGTGTAAATTGACCTTGGAAACAGATTCCACAATCCGTTTTCCTTCCCGGAGATCCGGAGCCGGAGCAGCCAAACAATCCCTCGGCGATTCAAACGAAGAGAGCGAGTACTGCTTCGAAACCACGCCAACGTCGAAGTAAATCAACCCGGAGCTGGGGATATCGACCCGGATTTCGATAACGGGGAACCACAGGAACAAATCCTGGGCCGAAATCCCGACGAGGCCGTCGATCTGGCCGTAGCTGAGAGTTCCGGTCACATTCATATCGTAGTGCAATTCGTTCTCGAACTTGGCATTACAGGCTCGATCCAAGCGCACCTCGAACTTCCCGGAATCGTCCAGGCTGAAATTCGTCACTCCTTTGGGAGCAGCCCCATCGGCAGCCCGTTCAGCTTCAGCACATCGTATATTGACGATTCCGACGCCTCGGCGGCGTCCGCCATTGATGTTATCAATAAGATGAAGATGGCGGGTATTGGGGATAGCATTTTTTGCGATTAATTTTTTTTTTTGGTTTACGTGTTACAACATGGAATTCTCTTCTGGTTTTCTAGGGTTTAGGAGGTTTTAGTAGGAAAAAAAATGGAGGGGGTAGGGGTGGGGGTGGGGGTGGAACTGTGGAGAAGATGAAGAAGAAGAAGAAGGAGACGGCGCCAGCAAGAGTACAGAGGGGATTAGGAGAAATGATCAATTATTGGTGGTGAAGATGGGCCCCACCTTTTTTTTTGGAGCTTTGTTCTCCTGCATCGGCGGTGCACTGCGCCCGCCACTCGTGTTTTCGTGGATCAGGGGTAAAGTGGGTATTTTACAGGAGAGTGTTGGGGACGCGCGTGAATGTGGGGGTGGGTGAAGAGAGGAATAAATAATGTGCATGGTAATTGAGACAGGAAAAAAAATGACATGAGCGAAAGCGTGGTTTCTAACTAACCAGTAAGAACAAGTTAAAGTTGTACTTTGGGTTAGTAGTAGCTGTGGACTTCAATTGCAGTTTCACACACACACACCCTCAGTGTGTGTTTTTGTGTGTGAGAGAGAGTGTGTATGTAATTTATAGCACATAAATAAATTCCTGAATCTAATCCTGATCAATAAATGTATTTTAATCTGCAGTTTATTAGTTTTGGTTGAGTAGTTGTGTGAGAGAGACTACACATGGGAATTGGATGACATCGATTCGGATCAGATCGGATTGGATTGGATTAAAAAAAAAACCATACTCAAATAAAATTTACGGTTTTTGTAGATGATAAATCAATCCCGGTTTCACTTTCAAATTCGTTCCTATTTCAGAATTTTGTGGAATTTTTTCGAATTAAGTACATATGTAGTAATATTGATGTTATAAAAAAGTTTGATTTTTTTTTAATAATATTTAAATAATTAAAAAATACGTTTGATATGTAGATCATGTTATTATTAGCAAATCTTGAATCTAAAAATGAAGAAGAGTTGTATTGACAGCAGGATCCAGTGAAAATTCCTGGAAATGTTTTTTAGATTTTTATGGGGGCAATGGGGTAAGATGGGAATAAGAGTCCAAAATATATGAACGTGTATATGTATCTATCATGTATCCATATTTGGAGAAATTGCATGTGAAGGAGGACATGTGTGGTTAAAATTATGATGATTATTATTTTTTTGTCATGGCATAATATTGTTTCACAAAATGATTCTTCTTCCTTTACATAATTAATATATATATACTTAATAATACACACACATATACATATATACATATATTGCAAAAACTACAGTTTTCATCCCTCAAATTTGCACATATTTCACATTTGGTACCCCCATGTTCATAAAAAATACATTTGGCCCCTCATGTGTTAATAATTTAACACTTTCGGTCATTTTTGTCAATTTGCTGTTAGTTCCTCAGTAAATACAGTAATGGACACAGTTAATTCAGTTAGTACTAACGAAAAATGGACGGAAATAACTAAAAATGTTGAATTTCTGTAACATAAGTGACCAAATGTATTTTTTTGTAAATATGAGGACCAAATGTGAAATCGATGCAAACTTAAGGGACAAAAACTATGTTTTACCCTATATATATTACATGTATGTATATACATGTTTCAGTCAGATCTGTATGATGCTACACAAATAATCATCCACTAAACACACATACATATGAATGTGTGTTATTATGTGTAGATCAATGGTTTAAGATAATCCAGTGTGTTTTATCGGGTGCAGGATCTGCAAAATCGTATCGGGCAAGAGACTATAGAGATGATAATAATGCATCATGGAGAAATAGTAGTAGTTGTTTTTGAATAGTTTTTTTTTTCTTGAAAAAATGGTTAATTAGATAATTAATTGTGTGGTTGTGGGATAATTAGGCATGGGAAGCAAGTGCCAGTATGAATTAACATGGGATTTTTGGTCAAGTGGGGCTAGTAGGTTGCTAGGGTGACCCCATTAATTTTGTTTTTAATTTTGGTCACCGTCACATGGATGCATGCACATTTATTTGTGTCACCCAATTTTCCGAAACTATTATTGTAATAAAATGGACATTGCCATGTTATGACCCTTTTTTTGGGCAATATTATTTTGCCTAATCAAGCTATTTATTCAATCACTCTTACATAAAAATAGTAATTATTATGTCAGCTTGTAGCACCGGAATTCCAACTTCTTAACTTTTTTGCATTTCGGACACGTTTTCGTATCCGACACTTAAGGACATTTGTCGAACACTTTATGGGTCATTTTGTAATTTCTAAAAAGCTAGAAACATGTTTGACTTATTACCTTATAAGAGTTTATTGCATTTACTACCCCTGTGAAAATCGCAATTGCGCGATTCCCCCCTGTCATAAAAAAATTAGCAAATACCCTCCTAAGAAAAAATGTCAAAGCCATTTAGGTCCCTCAGAGCATATTTTGTCCCACACGCGCATCTTCTGCGATTTTTATGAGAGTTTTGTTTATGAAATGACAAAAATAGCCTCACACAAATAAATATAAACTCAGCTGGGTTTAATTTTGAATAATCTAATTTCTTAAGGATCAATTTGTAATTTATAAAGTTCTTTTAAAAACCCTAATTTGCACCCCTCATTCTTCACCCAAGCCCCAAATCAGCTGCCTACTCCTACAAATCATCACCATCGCCGGCGCCATTGTCATCACGGGAATAGGCTTATTCACCGACGCTTTGTCTCTGCTATCCTCTCCGCCATTTAGATCCAAAACTCAGGTTTGCAAGTTCTGAAGGTGCAAGAAACAAGAAAATGGTGTTGTGAATTGCGGCCGCGATGAGGGAAAAGACCAACAGCAGCAGCGCTCCGGCAGTCGAGAAAGGGGCGGCAGCGGCGGTGGTGGAAGGAGGGTGAGCAACTGGTAGAAGATATGAATCTATAATTATTTCCAACTCCAATTTATCTTCTGCTATTACTAATTACATACCTGGAAGATGGTTTTGGTCCATAATAGTACTAAAGTCGATGGTGAGGGGTAGCGGCGGTGGCGGCGGCGGTTGGGAAGAAGATGAAGATTTTTTTTTTGGGTGGAGTCGGGGTGGTTTGACGGGGTAGAACCGTAGAAGATGATGTCTTCTTCTTTATTTTTTTTACTTTTTCTTTTTTATCTTTTTTAATTTATTTGTTCATATATAATAAAATGGAAATGTTCTCAAAAAAAAAAATGGAAATGAATAAAATTTCAAAACAAATATAAAAAACTCTAGTTTACAATATATTTTTAACCAAAACAATTAAACTATAGAAATTTTACGGAAATAAAATAAATAAGAAATCAAATTGTGTTTTCAAATAAAACTATTACAATAAAAATAAATTATATATTTTTTAATTGCAGAAACACCCCTAGGATATTTTGGTCTTTACACAGCTGGTCAATGAGCTAAAATGTAAATGGGTCGAGTGTGCATCCTAAAAATAAGCACAGGGGGGTATTTGCTAATTTTTTTATGATAGGGGTGAATCGCGCAGTTACGATTTTCACAGGGGTAGTAAATGCAATAAACTCTACCTTATAACTACTAATTAACTACCCACGTTTTCATTTGTCTTCGGCTTTAGTCTAAAGTTTTGTCCAAGTGGCAAGGAGCAAATAGAACCATTAAAATAATTATATATTTTTTTTTAATTTCTATAATTGCTTAATTAATCTGCCAGCTACAGCTTATTTCTAGTCCATTGACTTATAGAAAAACGAAAATGCTATTTGCGGTCACAAAATTGCTATTCGCGGTTTATAACAAACCCCCCCAAAACTTTTAAAAATATCAAAAAACCCCCCAAAACTGCAAATAGCAAAAAAAAAAAAATATCGAAAATTCGAAATCAAGCTTGAAGAAGGGTTGGGCTTCGATTTTTTGATGTAATTTCGACTCTTTTATGTGTAACATGCATTGGGTAGGTCTAGGGGTGCAAGTTGGAACGGAATTTCCAATTTCCGCCGATTCCGATCCGAAAAGTTCCGATTTTGGAACAACTTTTTTCATTCCGACTTCCGAAATTCCGATTTCCGAATTTTTCCGATTTTTTTGGATTGGAATTGGAATTATATAAAATAAATTTGGAATTTCCGATTTCCGATCCGATTTAATTCCGATATTAATTCCGAAAAAATCCGATTTTTTTCCGAAAAATACACCTATAAATAATATATATTATATAATTCTTATTTTCCGAAAAATACACCTATAAGTTTTGTTTATGGATTTTGACATAATGAATTGTTATTAGAAGTTTTATTGGATATTACGTTGTGTTTATTTTTATTTATTTTTTTGAACTGAATTTTAGTAGTTATTAGTTTTACTTTTATCGACGTGAATTTTCTTGTTTTTGAAAAAATATGAACATTATAGAAATTTTCGGCTAAGTTTTGAAATTTTAAAGCTTATGTGATTTCCGATTTTTTTCCGAAATTCCGAAATTTCCGGGCCTTTTGGAACTGGAATGAATTTTTAGATTCCGAAATTTTTGGAATTGGAATTGGAATTGATTTTGTACTTCCGAAATCTTTTGGAAATTTTCCGAAAAGGCTAATTCCGATCCGATCCTTCCGACTTTCACCCCTAGGTAGGTCGATTACGGAACCAATTTCATGTTAAAAAGCCCTACAAATCAATTTGTAGGGCTTTTTTTTTCGCAAAAAAATGTTCGAACGCCCA